TGCCCATGCTGTGCATGCACCTATGCCCATGCTGTGCATGCACCTATGCCCATGCTGTGCATGCACCTATGCCCATGCTGTGCATGCACCTATGCCCATGCTGTGCATGCACCTATGCCCATGCTGTGCATGCACCTATGCCCATGCTGTGCATGCACCTATGCCCATGCTGTGCATGCACCTATGCCCATGCTGTGCATGCACCTATGCCCATGCTGTGCATGCACCTATGCCCATGCTGTGCATGCACCTATGCCCATGCTGTGCATGCACCTATGCCCATGCTGTGCATGCACCTATGCCCATGCTGTGCATGCACCTATGCCCATGCTGTGCATGCACCTATGCCCATGCTGTGCATGCACCTATGCCCATGCTGTGCATGCACCTATGCCCATGCTGTGCATGCACCTATGCCCATGCTGTGCATGCACCTATGCCCATGCTGTGCATGCACCTATGCCCATGCTGTGCATGCACCTATGCCCATGCTGTGCATGCACCTATGCCCATGCTGTGCATGCACCTATGCCCATGCTGTGCATGCACCTATGCCCATGCTGTGCATGCACCTATGCCCATGCTGTGCATGCACCTATGCCCATGCTGTGCATGCACCTATGCCCATGCTGTGCATGCACCTATGCCCATGCTGTGCATGCACCTATGCCCATGCTGTGCATGCACCTATGCCCATGCTGTGCATGCACCTATGCCCATGCTGTGCATGCACCTATGCCCATGCTGTGCATGCACCTATGCCCATGCTGTGCATGCACCTATGCCCATGCTGTGCATGCACCTATGCCCATGCTGTGCATGCACCTATGCCCATGCTGTGCATGCACCTATGCCCATGCTGTGCATGCACCTATGCCCATGCTGTGCATGCACCTATGCCCATGCTGTGCATGCACCTATGCCCATGCTGTGCATGCACCTATGCCCATGCTGTGCATGCACCTATGCCCATGCTGTGCATGCACCTATGCCCATGCTGTGCATGCACCTATGCCCATGCTGTGCATGCACCTATGCCCATGCTGTGCATGCACCTATGCCCATGCTGTGCATGCACCTATGCCCATGCTGTGCATGCACCTATGCCCATGCTGTGCATGCACCTATGCCCATGCTGTGCATGCACCTATGCCCATGCTGTGCATGCACCTATGCCCATGCTGTGCATGCACCTATGCCCATGCTGTGCATGCACCTATGCCCATGCTGTGCATGCACCTATGCCCATGCTGTGCATGCACCTATGCCCATGCTGTGCATGCACCTATGCCCATGCTGTGCATGCACCTATGCCCATGCTGTGCATGCACCTATGCCCATGCTGTGCATGCACCTATGCCCATGCTGTGCATGCACCTATGCCCATGCTGTGCATGCACCTATGCCCATGCTGTGCATGCACCTATGCCCATGCTGTGCATGCACCTATGCCCATGCTGTGCATGCACCTATGCCCATGCTGTGCATGCACCTATGCCCATGCTGTGCATGCACCTATGCCCATGCTGTGCATGCACCTATGCCCATGCTGTGCATGCACCTATGCCCATGCTGTGCATGCACCTATGCCCATGCTGTGCATGCACCTATGCCCATGCTGTGCATGCACCTATGCCCATGCTGTGCATGCACCTATGCCCATGCTGTGCATGCACCTATGCCCATGCTGTGCATGCACCTATGCCCATGCTGTGCATGCACCTATGCCCATGCTGTGCATGCACCTATGCCCATGCTGTGCATGCACCTATGCCCATGCTGTGCATGCACCTATGCCCATGCTGTGCATGCACCTATGCCCATGCTGTGCATGCACCTATGCCCATGCTGTGCATGCACCTATGCCCATGCTGTGCATGCACCTATGCCCATGCTGTGCATGCACCTATGCCCATGCTGTGCATGCACCTATGCCCATGCTGTGCATGCACCTATGCCCATGCTGTGCATGCACCTATGCCCATGCTGTGCATGCACCTATGCCCATGCTGTGCATGCACCTATGCCCATGCTGTGCATGCACCTATGCCCATGCTGTGCATGCACCTATGCCCATGCTGTGCATGCACCTATGCCCATGCTGTGCATGCACCTATGCCCATGCTGTGCATGCACCTATGCCCATGCTGTGCATGCACCTATGCCCATGCTGTGCATGCACCTATGCCCATGCTGTGCATGCACCTATGCCCATGCTGTGCATGCACCTATGCCCATGCTGTGCATGCACCTATGCCCATGCTGTGCATGCACCTATGCCCATGCTGTGCATGCACCTATGCCCATGCTGTGCATGCACCTATGCCCATGCTGTGCATGCACCTATGCCCATGCTGTGCATGCACCTATGCCCATGCTGTGCATGCACCTATGCCCATGCTGTGCATGCACCTATGCCCATGCTGTGCATGCACCTATGCCCATGCTGTGCATGCACCTATGCCCATGCTGTGCATGCACCTATGCCCATGCTGTGCATGCACCTATGCCCATGCTGTGCATGCACCTATGCCCATGCTGTGCATGCACCTATGCCCATGCTGTGCATGCACCTATGCCCATGCTGTGCATGCACCTATGCCCATGCTGTGCATGCACCTATGCCCATGCTGTGCATGCACCTATGCCCATGCTGTGCATGCACCTATGCCCATGCTGTGCATGCACCTATGCCCATGCTGTGCATGCACCTATGCCCATGCTGTGCATGCACCTATGCCCATGCTGTGCATGCACCTATGCCCATGCTGTGCATGCACCTATGCCCATGCTGTGCATGCACCTATGCCCATGCTGTGCATGCACCTATGCCCATGCTGTGCATGCACCTATGCCCATGCTGTGCATGCACCTATGCCCATGCTGTGCATGCACCTATGCCCATGCTGTGCATGCACCTATGCCCATGCTGTGCATGCACCTATGCCCATGCTGTGCATGCACCTATGCCCATGCTGTGCATGCACCTATGCCCATGCTGTGCATGCACCTATGCCCATGCTGTGCATGCACCTATGCCCATGCTGTGCATGCACCTATGCCCATGCTGTGCATGCACCTATGCCCATGCTGTGCATGCACCTATGCCCATGCTGTGCATGCACCTATGCCCATGCTGTGCATGCACCTATGCCCATGCTGTGCATGCACCTATGCCCATGCTGTGCATGCACCTATGCCCATGCTGTGCATGCACCTATGCCCATGCTGTGCATGCACCTATGCCCATGCTGTGCATGCACCTATGCCCATGCTGTGCATGCACCTATGCCCATGCTGTGCATGCACCTATGCCCATGCTGTGCATGCACCTATGCCCATGCTGTGCATGCACCTATGCCCATGCTGTGCATGCACCTATGCCCATGCTGTGCATGCACCTATGCCCATGCTGTGCATGCACCTATGCCCATGCTGTGCATGCACCTATGCCCATGCTGTGCATGCACCTATGCCCATGCTGTGCATGCACCTATGCCCATGCTGTGCATGCACCTATGCCCATGCTGTGCATGCACCTATGCCCATGCTGTGCATGCACCTATGCCCATGCTGTGCATGCACCTATGCCCATGCTGTGCATGCACCTATGCCCATGCTGTGCATGCACCTATGCCCATGCTGTGCATGCACCTATGCCCATGCTGTGCATGCACCTATGCCCATGCTGTGCATGCACCTATGCCCATGCTGTGCATGCACCTATGCCCATGCTGTGCATGCACCTATGCCCATGCTGTGCATGCACCTATGCCCATGCTGTGCATGCACCTATGCCCATGCTGTGCATGCACCTATGCCCATGCTGTGCATGCACCTATGCCCATGCTGTGCATGCACCTATGCCCATGCTGTGCATGCACCTATGCCCATGCTGTGCATGCACCTATGCCCATGCTGTGCATGCACCTACGCCCATGCTGTGCATGCACCTATGCCCATGCTGTGCATGCACCTATGCCCATGCTGTGCATGCACCTATGCCCATGCTGTGCATGCACCTATGCCCATGCTGTGCATGCACCTATGCCCATGCTGTGCATGCACCTATGCCCATGCTGTGCATGCACCTACGCCCATGCTGTGCATGCACCTATGCCCATGCTGTGCATGCACCTATGCCCATGCTGTGCATGCACCTATGCCCATGCTGTGCATGCACCTATGCCCATGCTGTGCATGCACCTATGCCCATGCTGTGCATGCACCTATGCCCATGCTGTGCATGCACCTACGCCCATGCTGTGCATGCACCTATGCCCATGCTGTGCATGCACCTATGCCCATGCTGTGCATGCACCTATGCCCATGCTGTGCATGCACCTATGCCCATGCTGTGCATGCACCTATGCCCATGCTGTGCATGCACCTATGCCCATGCTGTGCATGCACCTATGCCCATGCTGTGCATGCACCTATGCCCATGCTGTGCATGCACCTACGCCCATGCTGTGCATGCACCTATGCCCATGCTGTGCATGCACCTATGCCCATGCTGTGCATGCACCTATGCCCATGCTGTGCATGCACCTATGCCCATGCTGTGCATGCACCTATGCCCATGCTGTGCATGCACCTATGCCCATGCTGTGCATGCACCTATGCCCATGCTGTGCATGCACCTACGCCCATGCTGTGCATGCACCTATGCCCATGCTGTGCATGCACCTATGCCCATGCTGTGCATGCACCTATGCCCATGCTGTGCATGCACCTATGCCCATGCTGTGCATGCACCTATGCCCATGCTGTGCATGCACCTATGCCCATGCTGTGCATGCACCTACGCCCATGCTGTCGCTCCCGTCGCTCTTGCTGTCCCGTCTTCAGGGTACGGGTGGGTGCCACTGCTGATGGATGCAGTCCAGTAAGTAAGTAACTGCTGTGCCTCCTCCTCCCCCTTTCAACTTTTTCCCCCGTTCATTCTCTCCCCTTCTCTCCCCCCCACACTTGCCCCCATCCACTTCCCCCCAACACAGGCGTTTATGTTTCAGGACATGGGCGTGCCGCTGCTCATGGAGCCCAACTTTGAGGATTTCAGCTGCGAGGTGAGTGGCTCGGGTGATGGGATACTGGGTTGGTGGGAGCAGCTGGTTACACGGTTACCAGGTGACTGGGATGCCGGGTGACTAATCAAGTTGGGGAAGCTGGGTCATGGGCGGACATGGGTGTGCCGCTGCTTATGAAGCCCAACTTTGAGGACTTCAGCTGCGAGGTGAGTGACTTGGGTTACCAGGTTACTGCGTTACCAGGTTATCAGGTGCTGCTGCTATAGCTGGTTGAGGTGACATGGGCGTGCCGCTGCTTATGAAGCCCAACTTCGAGGACTTCAGCTGCCAGGTGCGTGTAGTGACTGGGATGGGAGGAACTGGTTACCAGGTTACAGGATAATGGTTGTGTGTTTGCTCAAGCTGGTTCAGCGGACATGGGTGTGGCGCTGCTTATGAAGCCCAACTTGGGAGGACTTCAGCTGCCAGGTGAGTGACTCTGGTTACCAGGTTACCAGGTGCTGCTGCTTATGCTGGTTCAGTTCAGGACATGGGTGTGGCGCTGCTTATGAAGCCCAACTGTGAGGGCTTCAGCTGCGAGGTGAGTGACTGCGGTAATCGGGTGGGGTGGGAGGGAGGAACTGGTTACCGGGTTATCGGTTACTGGGTGAACGCTTTAGCTGGCTAGGCTGACATGGGCATGCCGCTGCTGATGGAGCCAATTTTTTAGGACTTCAGCTGCCAGGTGACTGTGGTGACTGGGATGCTGGGTGGGTGGGAGGAGCAGGTTACCAGGTTGCAGGTTGTTGGGTGAGTGCTTTGGTTGGCTAAGCATGCTGTTCGTGCCACTGCTCGTGGTCTCCTTATAAGCAATATTTGCGAAATCTAAACAAATCTCCCCTACGTCCCCCTTCCCGTTCCCTCTCCTCCTTGCTCATCAGTTCAAGTCTGGCGTGCATGTCCCTCCTTGGGTCAACGACCCTGCACTGCTCACTCGCTCTCTCCCTTGAAACATCACCCTTTGGTTAACTCATCGAGACTCCCTCCTTTACTGTCCTCCTTCCTGCTTCCCTCTCTCTCCCACCAGTTCAAATTTGGCATGCGTGCCCCCCCTCGAGACACCGATCCTGTGCTGCTCACTCCCTGCCTTGCCACCTGCCCCATTCGCTTCCCTTCTCGCTCCTCCTCTCTCTCTCCTTCTCCCTCCTCCACCTCCTCTCCACTCGTGGACCCTCAGGCTCTACCATGCACCTAGGGATGTTGCTAACTCACCAACCAGTTGATTCAAGCAGAAGTAACTCTTGAGTTGACTGGAAAATTGCAGTATGCCCCTAGGCATGTTGTTTGTTTACCTGCCATTTCATTATAGAAGTTACTGTTATCCGCATCACTTAGTCTACTCAAGCAGAAGCAACTGTTCTTGCCTCTTTTCAAAACTCCACAAGGGAGCCGCATGCCAGGTTGTGCGACGCCTGCCCAATCAGTCCCGGGTTTTATTGGATCTGGTACATATTTATTTGGAATTGTAGCGCCCCATTGTTAACAGTTGCTACACTTGTTTTACAAGCCATATGCGCTGCGAGCAGGGCCCAAAATATCAGGGTAAAACGCCCTGATTACCCTGCGGGTCGGCCGTTTTTTCAGGATTACCCTGCCAAAATCAGGAATGCGAATTAGTTGCCCTTCTCTTAAAGCTCGCGTCTCATATTTCTGCCATCCAACCAAGTGTTAAACGGTTGGAATCCGGTAACAGCAGAGTTTGTCGCAAAGCACACCAAAGCAAGGGGTGGTTTGGGGAAGTTGGCTGTCGCACACTTCCCCGTGCACACCAAGTGTTAACAACTCTCGAAAATATGAGACTCTGAACTCAACGTTGACAGAACCCGGGACCAAACCTGTCCCCCTTGGCTCGTTTTCCACCCAAACCAACCCACCCTGGTTTGTTTTGGCCTCGACTGTTTGGGAGTTTGCTGTGTTTTTTTCACCCACTCGTCAAATAATTCGTCATTCGTTACCCAATCACAGACGGGAAAACCCAACCAAGTGTTAAAAGGTTGGAAATCTGAGACGCGAGCTTTAAAAGAACATGTTTTTTTTTTACCCTGACTGGTTTTAAGGTTAGGCTGACGGAATCAGGGTGTGGTGTACACTACCCTTTTACCGAAACTTTTCTAACGCGAATCAGACCACAGTCCGCTTTGTGACAAAATGTACCACACCCCCACAAACACCGGTTGTCGCTTGTGCCCACGCGCAAAACAATGCCTCGCTGTCGGCAACGCGCCATGTTGCTTCTTTTGTTGTTTCTCCCGCAGGGCTGCCAACTCATTCTCGAATCTTGCCACCCGTCGCCACGCCCACCGCCAACACAGCAGAATTTGCTGTCAAGGACAGCTTGACAACAGAATGCAGCAGCAGTCCTGCCGTGCTGGCCATACACTTCCCGCCTCGTGGAAGAAACGGCCCTTAAGAGGCAGCCAGGGGGTCGTTCTCTTCGAGGGGGTCTCTCGCTTGGCCCTCATTCTCAACCATGCTCCAACTTTCACCTCAACAATGCCCACTGGAGAGCCCGATCCACCTGATGGCGCGAGAAACGGCCTCTCTGTGCTGGGCGTTTTACCACGCCTTAGCGAGAACTACGCCGTGCCCATCGCTCAGCCGCCGCCTCGTGAGCCGTCACCTGAATGTGTGGTAGGAACGGTTTATCCGTTCGAGCCGCCAGACTCACCCACGGCGTGGGAGCCACATCCTGACATAGATTTGGTTCCCGGAGGAGGCGAGGGCTCGTCAAAGCCGCCTACTGCTTCGCCTTCGACGGTCAGCACCGCGCCCGTCAAGCGACCGCGTGTGGGAGTTACGTACAAGCAGCAGACGCTGTGGGGCGCCCCTCCTCCGAAAAACGCTACTTCACACAAGCGCCCTGCTCCTTCGGCCGACCCGACGCCACCCACCGCTCTGGCGGATGCTGAGTATGAGTCGGTGAAGAAGACGTTTGAGGGTCAGTGGGCAGGTAGCTTCAAGTGGTTACGTTTGCTCCGCATGTCTAACGGCCGTCCGTCTTTGAAGTGTGCGATTTGTGTGAAGCATGGAGATCCACTGGCGCACACCGTGTACGGGGCGAAGGGCGAAGGTGCTCGGGACCTCCAGATCGGCAGCATTCGCGCTGACGAACATGCTGCGGGATGATGCATGGCGTGTCTCCTTCCCCAACATCATGCGGATGTGGCAGTCAGTGGCCGTGCTGCCATTGCGCACGGTTGAATGCGAGCGTGGCTTCTCGAAGCAGAATCTGATCAAGACGTGGGGCCGTGGCAGCCTTGGTGACACAAGCCTGGAGCATCTGATGCGTTGCTTCCTGCTGCGGTACGATGTCGACTGGTTTGAGGTGGTCGCTATCTTTCGTGGAGAGAGGCTGAGGCGATCCACCAGGGAGTTCGACCCCACCAGAGCTTCACAGACTCAGTTTGTAGAAGATGTAGGCAGTGGGGGTGGCACTGAGTAGGTGTGTAGTTCATGTGTGACTTTTGTAGAGTGAATGGACTTTGGGTGTATTACTTTATTTCTGATTTTATTAAAACCGTAGCTCACACAACTGTAACCAAAACAGAATTGGCCCGAAAATACCCTGATCAAATCAGCCTAGTGCCAGAGTTACCCTGCTGAAATCAGGCTACGGAAAATTCTACCCTAGGGGTCTGTTCTAGGAGGGGCTGGTACCCAGATTTGTAAGAGTAGGCCTAAACCAATTTTGGGCCCTGGCTGCGAGCTCCTCCTGCATTTAGCTCATCGCTTTATACTGAGTGAAAACTTCTGTATTGGAGATTCGTGGAACTTCTGTGTTGGAGATTCGCGAGTCGGCTGTGAGGCCTTTGGTAACGCGTCCGCGAACGTGGAGGCTCAGGGATTCACGAACGCCACGTCAGAATCTCCCCTGATACCCAATCGAGCTAGACGAGCGTTGACGCTATCCACGTAGGTTGGGACTGCGTGTCACCTTGAGAGCTCCGTCCCTCGCTTGGTGTGTTTCCAGTTGTCCTTCGCGGGGTTGGTGTGGAGCAAATTTGGACACCATCTCGGTGGCGCGCTGGCCGTCCGATTAATCACGAACTGTCTCCAGCACTTTCATAAAAGATTCAGCAGTCCTGGATCTTAGTAAACACTCTTCTAATTACTTCAGATTTTCCCTGAGATTGCTAAGTTCTAGTCTGAACGGCCACAGGTATACCCTTCTTGCCCATCTAAATTTAGCCGTTTGATTTCTGCTTGCATCACGCCTCTCATATAAAGACCACACAACAACTAAACAGCAAGACTACTTCACCTGTCACATTACTTCTTTCGTGGCCTTAGCTCATCTCATTTGTTGTGTCAAGGCCCGAATATCTTCGTAGATTATTATCAGAGCAATGGCCGTCTCAATGACTGCGTCTTCGTTTTGCCAGCTGAAATCCGTGTCGCTGGGAAGCGAGCTGCGAAGCTCTGAGAAGAATGTTACTCTGCGAAGCCTCGCTTCGCGAGACTTGCTGAATCAGGCTATTTCTCTCTCCTGCGAATCCCGCAGCTTTAACGCAACGGCAGTTCCCCGCACTAATGTCGTTTCTGTTTCCGCGTCCGCCATTCCTCCAGTAACCGCCGCTTCCGCCGCGGCTGTAACCGCGTTCCAAGGAACGCCCGTACGTACAACGAGTGTGCTTGTCGTGGGAGCGACGGGGACTCTGGGCCGTCAGATCGTTCGCAAGCTTCTGGACGACGGTTTCGATGTGCGCTGCCTCGTGCGGCCTCGACCACAGCCCGCGGATTTCCTCCGTGACTGGGGAGCTACTGTCGTCAATGTGAGTTTTGTGGCCTAATAAGAGTTTTAGTTTTTGGTCGACTCATGAATTGCTGCCTCGTGCGGCCTCCACCACAGCCCGCGGTATCCTTCGTGACTGGGGAGCTACTGTCGTCAATGTGAGTTCTGTTGCCTAAGACATTTACTTTAGCCGACTCAATGTTCGCTGCCTCGTGCGGCCTCGACCGCAGCCTGCGAATTTCCTTCGCGACTGGGGTTCTACTGTCCTTAATGTGACATTTGATGTGAAATAAGAGTATTTTAGTCGTGAATACGAGTCTGACTGTCTTGAATGTGACGTCTAGCGTGGTTCGTGTGAGTTCGATTGTCGCTCACGTGAGCTCTAGTGCCGTATATGTGAGCTGTAATGTCGCCAATGTGAGCTGCAATGTCGCCAATGTGAGCTGTAATGTCGCCAATGTGAGCTGTAATGTCGCCAATGTGAGCTGTAATGTCGTAAATGTGAATTCCGTTGTTCCTTTACCCTTTTCCCCAACTAGCGCGACCTGACCCGGCCTCCCAGCGGCGCTCGTGGGCGTGCACCCCGTCATCGACTGCGCGACCGGCCGTCCCGAGGAACCCGTTCGCACGGTGAACTCGATTTCGTGCTTCGTTGTTCCTGCCTTCCCTCCCGTTTCCCCGAACACAGCAGGGCGATCTCACCCGCCCGGAAACTCTCCCAGCGGCGCTGGTCGGCGGGCACACGGTCATCGACTGCGCGACGGGGCGTCCCGAGGAGCCCATTCGTACGGGAAATCCATTCCCTTTTTTCCGCTTTCTTTCCCTATCTTCCTCAACAGGGCGATCTGACCCGGCCAGAGACCCTCCCTGCGGCTCTCGTGGGAGTGCACACCGTCATTAAGTGCGCGCCGGGGCACTCCGAAGAGTTCAATCGTTCGGTAGATTCAATCCCGTGCTCCCCTTTCCCTGCTCCCTCGCTCATTTCCTTTTACAGGGCGACCTGACACGGCCAGAGACCCTCCCGGCGGCTCTCGTGGGCGTGCACACCGTCATCGACTGCGCGACCGGCCGTCCCGAGGAGCCGATTCGCACCGTCGACTGGGACGGCAAGGTGGCGCTGATTCAGTCGGCGCAGGCGATGGGCGTGCAGCGGTACCTCTTCTTCTCCATCCACGAGTCGGAGCAGCATCCCGAGGTGCCGCTGATGGAGATCAAGAAGTGCACGGAGAAGCTGCTGGAGCAGAGCACGCTCAACTACACCACCATCCGCCTCTGCGGCTTCATGCAGGTAGGCAACGAAACGCGGCTGTTGAAGCAAGCAGGTAGTGGTGTTTGGGTGGGTTGGTGCGCGGGTGGGCGAGGTGCCGCTGATGGAGATCAAGAGCTGCACGGAGAAGCTGCTTGAGCAGAGCCCGCTCAACTACACCACCATCCGCCTCTGCGGCGTCATGCAGGTGCGAAAT